ATTCTGCATGAATTACCTTTTAGTCTCATTAAGCAAAATCTTCATTCAGAAACATATGAATTACAAATACCAAGTGTGAATTTTGGGGGAAAATGTGTAAAATTATCATAAAATAATGTCCTAATTTAAAATGTAAACTCTTAATGATCTCCCTCTCTCTCTATATATATATATATATATTGGTCAAAGACGAAAAAGGGTTTAGGCATGCCCCCCCCCCCTAAAAAATAAACAAATTTCTGTTTAATTTAATTGCAATTTTGTTTTTCCGAGCAAAAATTAAATATCATACATTTTTACATCAACATACAAGAGACCCCCTCAAATGTCATTCAGTGTAACAATCTTGTCAGGCATATTTACAATAAAAATCAATTTATGACATATTTTAAAATACTAATTAGTTGTAATTTTACATTTTTAAAAGTTGCCACTATCCTAGATTTTGCCCATTTGTCAGTAAAAATGTTTTACTCATTTAAAACACAATAAAATTTAATATGCTCTCTTATTCTTTTATATATTTTAATATGCACACGCCAGAATAAGCATTTTGTTTGAATTTTTACATAACTATAAGTGTTACACTGAATGAGAATGTAACATTATTTCAACCAAATTGTGATATTTTATTCTTCAAAAACTGATTTGAAACCTTACCTTACATTTAATGTGCTTTCTATGGACATAAACTCACTTTTGTAAATTTCTTTTGTTATATATATTTTGTGTGTGTATATATATATATATATGTATATATATATATGTGCTTAATTAGCATGAAACAAACAAAGTGTCTTAAGTTCTTAATAAAACATAAACAATTACTTTTTCAACACACTGTGAAGCATGCATACGAATCATTTCGATATAAACTCCAGATCGTACCTGTGGGTGATAAACACTGAGGGACTTGACTTTATGCAAAGGTAACAAAACTTTTAAAAGGAAGATTTTGTGCTCTTCTTTCAGCGGTAAGGCGAAGCCGTTAATGATGCTGGAGGAAAAGAGAATCGTTACAGAGACGTCATTACTGAGGCTTTAAGCTCATTAGAGCATATGAACACGGGAAGCTCAGCAGCAGAGTAAACGAGCCTAACACACACTGTAACTGTTAACAAGAGTACTCGTATAAAACATGATGAAAGGCACCAATAATGTCATCACAATACATCAAAGAATTATTACAATGCCATTTCGCGAAGCAAAAGCGATTCGTCATACAGCACCAAATTAATTTATTCAAATGTTGCTCAGATTTGAGAGGAATAAACTGATTTTATTAACATTGTTTCATACCTTCCTAGTATTTCCAGTAGTTCGGCTATTCCGTTATGATGCTCTGTTTCATAGATGAACCTGTACAGAGATAAAACACATATTCTGAACTCAAGACTGATAATTATGACAAGAACATATCTAAGAATATATGTTTTTGAAAGTCTCTTATTCTCACCAGTGCTGCATTTATTTGATTAAAATACAGTAAAAATTGTGAAATATTATT